TACCACACATGTCAGGAGACTCGTCAGGAGCAAAGAGCTTGTCCCGGCTGGGGCAATGGAGGATACCTGGTTAGGGAAAACCCCGCTAACCGACGTTAGGTTGGCGCCGAATCTCGCCATAGAGCGGGGAAAAGATCACCGCCACATTCTGAGCAAAAATCATGCATTACACTTACAGGACTAATAACCCTGGTAGTTGACGTGCCCGGAATCACTAAACAATCAATAAATCAACCTTCCAACGCTTCGAAGCCATTTTGAAACAACAATCCGAGCAAATATAAAAACCCTCTTTAATTTAATTATTACACCGATATCCAAAATGCATTGAAATGGCGTGGAAAATAAAAATGATATTTTGGAACGCAAATGGTACATTCCAGCATCGCAAAGAGGTGATTGCAATTCTCAGCGAACAAGACATACGAGACATTCCACGTCAAATTGCACACTCACAAAATATCTCTATTTTTTAGCGACATGAAAATTTTTATGTGTTCAAGGGTTGGAAATAGGTGACACATTTTTTTTTCTTTTTTTTTTAGACCCACCCCTTTCAGAAATATTACCATTTACTTTTTCCGAAGAATCGTGCGCACGCTAATGTTTAAAATGTTTTTGCGTTAATATCTTTTTATACAGAAAATTAAATTACACTTAAATTTGAATTAAAAAGATTTACTTTCACGTGCTGTAAGTATAAGTTTTATAAATATACTATTTAAATATTTTAAATATATTTTAATTTTAAAATGCAAATGTGTACATTAGATCGACACTTAAATTAAGTATACAAAAAAACTCCTACATTTCTACACTAATTTTGTGTAGATCCGCCGAAGTTCAAAATGGGAAACCCATAAGTAACATTTAAAAAAAATAGTGTGTTCACCGGCGCATGTAGGCAGCCCCCTGTCCGCCTAACTCGCTACTTGGGGCGTGAATGACACGACGCATTGTGACGTCCAAACATAATGGAACCGTAAGACTTATGTCATACTATGAAGGCAGAAACACACGTACGGTCTCAAATAGAAGTCTTCCGACGAAATGCGTCTGTTAAGTTTGTTTATAAACAACTGACACTGCTAGGGTCTGCCTGAAACACGGCAGCCTTCTTTCTCAGATATACTGAGTCATTTGTGTAAACAGAGGAATCCGCGAAACACATGTGTTGTTTTGTTAATTTAGTAACCCAGATAGTCCTACGATAATATCAATACTATTGTTTTCTTTTTTTTTTTTGCATTTTCTTAATATGAAAATATATAATTGCAGAAGTGTACGTTTAGGTTATTACAACAAACATTCTTGAGAAGTTAAAAATTGACTATTTGTCGTAAAAAAAGTTGTGACGAGAAAAGTCGTGACGAGTCAAGTGACATTTTTTCAAGAAAGTGAGACTCGCACATGCTTATTAATGCCGCAAATATATTGAGCAGTGAGAATGTCGAATAACGTGCTAGTCTTGATCACCGTAACGCATCACCTGATACTCGTACGAGTAATAAACAAACTGACCGAGAAAGTTCATCTTGTGTTTCATCTGCTATTTTCACTTGTCGTTTACCGTTTTCTCCTCTCTTCATGAAACAAAAATAAAATTTGACGTTGGGAATTTTCATTGTACAGTATGAATTTTTTAGAAAATTATTCTTCCTTACTTGAAGATGTAATTCAGTGACAGCTGTGAATTAATGTCTTGGCTACTCTGCATCCTTTTGTGCTACACGAATTCAACTCACCATTGCCAGTGTAAACTCATAATACTTCTCAAGTAACTTTATGACATTGTTAACAGACATTTGTTTGAATGGGGTCAGTGCCTAGGTTTACATAACAACGCAAATTTATGCTTCTAAAAAGATTTTTGAATTGTGAATGCTGAATGGCATTTCTTCGCTTCGCAATGTTTATGGAAAGGGATCTTGCGACGT